GGAAAGCAGGAGGCTAATGCCTCCCACTGACAGCTGTCATTTGGGATTCCCATCTCTGGGCCACAAGACATCACAGCTACTTGAGAGTGCAGCCTGGGGAAGTATTAAATACAGATAACTATTAATGTCACAAAGTCTGGGAGATGGAAAAGTTAAGGTTCTCAGATCTCTGTCCAAGGCACATGTGTACACTTGTTAATTTCCAGTTCTACTTATGTGAATAATGTGAGAATGCTGAGGACTTCAGACTTCTCCATTGCCTGTTTATCCTTTGAATGCTTGCATGAGGGCATATCCATCTACACTGCCATTATGACCAGAACTGGGAGAACTCCCAAGAAGCCAAACCCACCCAAATTGAGTCCTACTCCACAGGCACCAAACTCCAGAAAGAAGGCAATGAAGTAGCCTGAATTGTCCTGAGAACAGGCCTTACTGCTGCTTTTCAGCTCTCTGCCCTAGTTGCATTTACTGATGCATTATGTGATCGGAGTAGCACACCAGTGGTTTGAGTTTGAAAGCATATTACTGGATGCTTCCAATAAACAGATCAGCAGCAAGCTATTTTTGACATTTGGTGGCAAGAATGCCCCAAACAAGGTCACCCACAGCTCTCTTACAGGCACTTTGTCAGGCTATCTTTAGGAAGACAACATTTCATGATCAGCTCATAATTAAAGTTTCATTTCCTAAAAATCAACAACAAAAGCTTCCATTGTGGAGCTTATTTCTGAACAGTATTACAGACAAGAGTCAAATATATGACATTCAGAATCTACCAGTCCATTGCCAGAGACTCAACTAGACAGGCCAGATCTTATGTTTTCTATCTGATCAGACTAATAATGCATGCAGAGACAGATGTCTTCCCTCCACAAAGGCTGAAGCCAAAATGCTTTAGATACAACGGTAGCACCTTTCATGGATAACTGTGTAATAAGCATGAAGCATGCTGCTCTTGCTTTTCCATCTCCTGTCATCATCATAAGGTTTGAAAATACTGAGATCTTTTCAGCAGACTCTTCCTCCCTTTGGGGCAGTCCTGGGCAATAGTCTCTCTTGAGGTGATGTCAATGTTGATTTTTTTTTCAAGTGGGCCTTGAGAACATCCCTGAAGTGCTTCCTCTGTCCTCCTCTTGCAGGTGTGGTTTGACTGACCTGGGAGAATAAAACATGCTTCGGGAGTCTGAAGTTGGACATCTAGATGACGTGGCTGGCCCAACAAGGTTGATGTTGCCTCAATTATCATTGCCTCAATGCTCATGTTTGCTTGCGGGAGAACGATAGCGTTGGTATCTTTCTACCGGACTTGAAGGACCATCAACAGAAGATACTTCTCCAATGACTTAGTGTCTCCCATACGTTGTCCTTGTCCCAGCTCCATACAGAAAGGTGGGGATCACAACTGCTTGATAAACCATAAGATGAGTTTCAAATCTGATACTGCAATCCTCAAACAGCCATTTACTCAGGCATTCAAAGGCTACACTTGCACATTTGAGACAATGTTGGATTTCTTCATCAATATCAACCTTGTGAGAGATGGCTTATGAGGTATAGGAAATACTCAATGTTCTCCAGAACCTTACTGAAAATCTGAATTACCAGAGCTGGGGACTGCTCATTAAAGGGCTTGTTGATGGCAGACCTTAGTCTTTTGAATGTTAAGCGTCAGTCCCATTTTCTCGTATGCCTAGGTAAAGATGTTGATGATTGCCTGAAGGTCTACTTCTGAGTAAGCACATTCTACAGCATCATCAGCATACTGAAACTGGATGATTGAGGTCAGGGTGGTCTTGGTTTTGGCTCAGAGTCAGCTGAAGTTAAACATCTTACCATCCATTCAGTAGTTTAACTCCACTCCAACTGGATACTGGTTGGTGGTCAGATGTAGCATCGCAGTAAGGAATAGAGAAGAGTGTTGGAGCAATGATACAGCCTTGTTTAATTCCCACCTTAACCTCAAAGGAAACTGCAATAGATCCCTTACTGAGAATCACTGCTTGCATACTGTCACAGAGCAGGCAAAGGATGGTGACCAATTTCAGTGAGCAACCATATTTAAGAAGGATTCTCCACACCACTACTTTGTTGATAGAATCAAGGGCTTTTTTTGTAAGGTCACAGAAGGCCATGTAGAGAAGTTTATGTTGTTCCCAGCATTTTTCTTGTAGCTGGCAAGCTATGAAGATCATGTCAGTTGTGCCTCTTGATGCCCACACAGATTGTAGGAGGAGCTCTTCAGCAAGTGGAAGGAGACTATTCAGGAGGGGCCTTGCAATTATCTTGCCCAGGGTCGGACAGCAATGCAATCCCTCTGTAACCTCCACAGTGGGACTTATCTCCTTTCTTGAAGACTGTCACAATCATAGTGTTACTACTTACTGAATAAGCCCCAGATCAACTTTTCTATTTTTTTGCCTGGTTCTGATGGCAGGCTAGTCAAGTCTAGAGATACCTGGAACACCCTACTCTTTCTAAAGAATGGCTCTCTAGTCCGGCATTTAGATAGTAGTCTCAAAATTAAAAACGATCACTAGAACGCATCTTCACATGCACTTTAACGTGCAGTAGCCTATTTTACTGCGAATTAAAGCGTCACATCAAAAACTATGCTAATACACTCATGTGCAGTAAAAATAGGCTATTGTGCATTCATTGAGAGTCACTAAAAAGCATGCGCTTGCACTACTGTGCAGTAGGACAACCCAACGCATATTTATTTAGTAACTCACATTAAAAGGTACTGAATTTAATGCGCATTAGCAAAAATGCATTAAGGAACATATAGACATATCCTCTGTCAACTTTCTTGGAGATTTCTGTATAAAAGTTTTATGGAATAGTTTATTTTGAAAGGTTTCTTTCTAGCTTAACATCCTCACTTATCAACAGACTGGGTATTTATTCACTATCATGCTTTGTTCCAAATACAGAACATAAGTGTTAGTTAAGCATTTCTGTCTTTTCTACAACACTGGTAATTTTACCATCTCCATCTAATAATCCTAAACTTATTGTCTTTAACTGTGTAAACCACCAATTCCCCCCACTCCCCAGCCCCAGACTTTTGCTTTCCTTCTCAGCTTTTTTTAGTTCAGAAACATCTCAATGGGCTTGCTCTTTACCTTTTAAAACATACTTTAACATTTTAATTGTTGCCTTAGCTTCAACACCGAGTTAGAATAGACCATTTCACCAGATTTCCTTATCCTTAAATCAAGATGATGATTTTTCCAGGTCAATAAAAAAATTATTTCCACAAGCATTTCTAAATCACACACACTTCTCATTCAAGTATATTTCTGTACTGATTTATAACCAATGTGGAGCCATGCATGCCATTTTCCCAATTTGTACCATCACTGGTGGTTAAGTTAACAAGTAAACATTTTTCCTAAAAACTGACAACCTTGTAGAATTCACCCTGGACTCTAACAGACAGCCAATGTAGGCTCTTTGCAACACATGAACCAGTAGTTCCAAATATGCTGCGGATTGAACAATGTCCTAACCACCTATTCAATCCCACGAGTCTACAGTGGGATTGAAAAGATGATGCTGTGATCTCCAGAATCCTTATGGCTAAAACCCCCCCCAAAGGAGGGGAAACGGGGGGGGGGGGGGGGGGAAAACCAAAAACCCCCCCCCACAAAAAAAAAAAACACAAACAAATGGGAGTGCTACTACATGGCTGAAAATTAGAACAAAAGTATTCATTTGCAAAAATTAGCAAGCTTGATGTTGCAAATCTAAACAAAGAACCTTTATAATGCCAATTTACACAAAGCCACTTTTCATATGCTCTCTAAATTCAAAGTTAGTTTATATTTTTGTAGAAAAAGTGTATAGTTACATTAGGTCATATTTGGCATCCTCAGAAGCACAAGTAACAGGAGATCAAATTGGTGTTCTGTTAACCTAGGAAATTTTATGGACAAGACAACCATCACTTTTCATGTTTCACAACTTTAATAGAATATTCTAACTATTCTGTACAAATTGAAAACACCGTATTAAGTTACAAATGTGTAAGGTAAGGCTGGAGCACTCTACATGCCTGGTCACAGTGTTGATACAGTTGCTATTCAACTGATGCCAGAGATTGGCATTTGGATGCTTAAACTAGAAATGTGCACCTGAAGTACTGCACAACAACAACAACAGGTAGTTTTGAAGACTTCAGAGCTTTTAAACAAATTGTGGAACGGAGTAATTTGAGCTACGAATAAGACACCAAAACTTCAGATTTACCAAGTTAAATTTTGTTAATCTATATGCTCAGAGTGAAAGTCCCTGCCATGCTGGATACTAAGCAATAAGACTATTGGAAATGTTCTGGTTCTTTGGCTGCAACCCACTTCTATTGACAGCAACAATTTGGCTGTAGATAGTTCGGATTTTCCCCTAAAGAATTGTCACTTTGAAGCACGTTCATTTTTGTCTAAGCTACCACCTTGAGAAAGACTAGTCAAATTTTCCTTGTACAAGTACCCATATTTTATGCAAACAGGAAGAAAATATTTTCAAGTATCTTAAAAACTATTAAAAAGCACTAATTCTTTCAAAGTACTTACAAACATGAATGAATAAATAAATAGAAAGATGAACAACTAAGTAAATCTCAAATATGACACCCTTTCAATAATGATAAAGTAAAATTTACTTCAATTTAATTGGCTTTACTCAGATAATAAATATGACATTTAAAGCAGCGCAAGCACTAATTTGATTTGTAGGTTGCAGGAAATGTTTTTAAAAAAGAGTGGGAGGGGGAAACTAGCAAAAAAAGTCAAGTCCTATTGCTGTATTTCCTTTAACTACCACTCATTTAATCCATTTATAGTTTAGCTTCTCGGCACATAGGCTATTCCACAATTTTCAAAGTTCAACAAGAAAATGGATAGTCTTTACTTTGTCATTTGGATTATTTCCCTATGAAGAGGCAAGAGGCTCGTCAGAAAGCCTACTGACAATTATTTAGCTACAGTGTACCAAAGGCTGTAGAGTGTGCTTTATTTAAACCTCATATTTCCCAAATGCATTGAAGTTGCCACTGTACAAGTTAAGCAAAAAAGAAGAGTTAGTGAAAAATCATGCATTTTAAAACAAATTAAGTTTAAGCATTGTTAATAAGATTGTGCTGCAGCAATGGAATATCCTGAACTGCAGGCCAGGTATCCAAATATTTGTTACAAGTTGTTCAAATATCACTCTGAAGTGGTATTTCCTTATTACTGTTGTTTGCATTCAGCAGGCTGGCTGGCATCTTTCTGTTTAAAGGAGAAAAAGAAAAAAATAGTCACAAAAGGATGAAGTTTACAATAAGCATTCAGCTGAAAATTGAAATTTGGTCATATGGCTTTTAGTTGAATGTAATACCAGATTAACTCTAAGTGGAGATATCTCCATGTAAATCCTGATCCAAGAGTTCTTAACTGCAACTCTCATGAACTCAGTATTGCTCAGCCCTTCAGAAGTTTGAGACTTATGCTTGGCTTCTCTATAAGTCTCCAGCAAAGCAGCCCAGACTTTCTAATTCAGTCTCCTAAATAAATGGCCTAATTTTCAAAAGCGCTCAAGCCAAATGGAGCTGCAGCAGTCATAGAAATTTGAAAGCAAGAGTATCAATCCACCTGCTTAGGAGTCAAATTTAGAAAGTCTTGGCCTCTATGTTGGAGATCAGGAATGCTGGTTACCCTAACAGGTTGTACTCCCCTCCAGGCTACAGACAGCTGCATTTGTGTCAGTTTATACGTACTGCTGTATTTTAGACCGGGTGCTCCATCTGCTTAGATCTTTGCGATTTACACACTCGCTTATACAATTTTTTTAAAAATAGTGAATTAACATTTCTCTTCTGTTTGTTTCACCTTTCAGCCCTGCTTACTGTAAGACAAATACTAAGTTTCCTGAATACTACAGCAAAAAGGAAAGTCAGGTACAGAAGAGATGAGACAGACAATGCCCAACTCTGTGAAATAATGTATACCTTTGATAAATTAATCTAAAAACAACATTAATATTTGAGATTGTACTAAAGCAAGCATGAAAGCACTACATTTTTTGTTTGTCATCATAAGTGTGTACGTGCCTATTTTCCCAACTGCTCTTCACATAACACTGAAATGAATCAATTTGCACTGATCTATCCCTGAACAAGAGAAGTCCTTTATGAAAAGAATAAGCACACAGCAAAGAAATTATTTCTCAGAAAGAAAAAAAAAAATACTGGATTTAGTGAAGCTTCAAAATCTACATTAATCTAGCACTTTGGGTAAAATTTTCTAAAATCTAAGTGCTTATGCACCTAGAGCCTTACTGACAGATTGTGAAACTTATGTTCCTACATATCCAAATTCCACTTTAAAAGGTAGCTTTGTGCTTTAGAAAAAATGCTATTCTTTAATTACAATTAAAATGCAAACTTCAAAAAACCACCAGTGAACTACTGCCGCACTGCCAAACCATATCCCACTCAAGCATGGTTGGACCTCCAGCATGGCCGAGAAGGAAGATGACAGAAAATGAAACAAAAAAAAGCCCACCCAAATCATTGCATAGACTAGTCATAAATGTAACAACTGATCTAGTTCTGTGAAACTTCAGGACGTTTCCAGACACAGGAGTGTGCCTAGAGAACACACTGCCAGCAGGTCTCTGCCAGTTCTAATTTTGTAGTAGAGGGCTGACTTAAGGACATCCACTACCTTCCATCTTCAGGACATCTAACTGGTCAAGGATCACTAAGCATAAGCCAATTTCTCAGAGATCCAGGCCCTGAAGTATCTTAATATCTACCCATACCTTAATATCTACCCTTTGCACATCATATGGAACAGCAAAACCAGTGCTGAGATAAAAATACTATTTACAATGCTGACAGCTGCTTTCTGTATTAGCTTCCATCTCCAAATGATCTTAGTGTGCAGTCCCACACAGAGGCAGAGACACACAGATAACTATTAGAGGTGTGCAAAACAGGCTGTAATCAATTCGGATTCGAGCTGAATCAGGGACAGTGATTCAATTCGCCAATTTGGATCACTGTTCCCGATTTGATTCGGCTGAATCCGAATCTGAAGGTTCAACGCTGATTCGGTCACAGAAACATCTTTAAACGTTTTTTCTACATACCACAAGGTACCATAAGCACTGCAATAGTGGGACGAATTGGGCACCCCACAGGAGCGCGGGGTGGCCCCTCTGCATGCTCAGCAGTAAAGCCAGAAGTGGACCGGAACTACTTCCGGTCCACTTCCAGGTCCGCTGCCGAGTGTGCTGGGGACCCCCCTCCCCCCCAGCTCAGCGATCAGCTGTGGGGGGGGGGACCCAGGTGCCCCCCCAGACCCAGGAGGTACCAGTCGCCAAGCTGGGGGAACACAGGAGGGGACCCCTGCAGACCCGGAAGTGGACCAGAAGTGCTTCTGGTCCACTTCCGGGTTTGCTGCCGAGTAAGCTGGGGAGCCCCCCACGTTCCTGTGGGATGCTCCATCTGCCCCAGCGTACTTCACAGAATTCACAGGCCACCTGGTACCTTGAGGTATGTAGAAAAAAACATTTAAAAGCTGTGTCTATGTCCAAATTGCCAAATCAATTCACAGGGTTCCGATTTGATTCGATTCGGAGAGATTAAAGGGTCTCCCGATTCAATTCAGATTCCAACAGTCAGCCACCGAATCAAATCAGGGATGAAAGCTTTGCACAACCCTAATAACTGTACTATTTCCCATAAATCCCCCCAAAGCTGCACTTGGTTTATGTACACTTGAAAAGCAATCTTTGACAGAGCTGCTTCCCTAATAATCCAGTAATAGCCTAGAATCTAACACCACCCACAAAGTGTTGGCTTGTGGTAGAGACTGCAGCTGAACTTCATCATTCAAAGCTGTCAACGAGCTGGTTCCTTCCAGATTGCCAACGTTCTTGCCTGGACAGTTGTTCAGTGGGTCAGTTCCATCTCACTTAGACACCAGCATGATGGACCAAATTATGCAATGTCAGACATGATAAGAGCTGTCCACATGATACCACGGGCATTTCAATCCAAGTCACCCACTTCAACCGACATTTGTACAGAAGTGCTAATCAGTTTATCTTCAGCGGGCAGCTTCCAAGGCAAACCAACCACTACACAGAACTACAACTCTGTTCTTCAAGGAGCAAAACAGGGCAGGGCAGACAGAACATATTTTATGAGTGTATTCCATCTATAACTACTCACAGCTTCAGATTTTCAGCATTGAGGGGAAAGTAGCCAAACAGATCCAAGATAATGCAGTTTCCCAAGTACCAGCTGACCTCTGGCTCTCAGACACACAACCCCGTCCCACCTGTTAGACAGTCTGATGTCCTCCAGACTGGGGGCATAAATCCACACTCCATGAATCACAGCATCATAGCAAAACAGGTCTGGAAGGGACGTCATAAGGTCATCTATTCTAGTCCCCTTGCTCAAGGCAGGATCACCCTCACTTAACCACCTCAACAGTATGGTCACATCTGGACTAGCGCAGATGACAAGAAGCAGTGGCACACCTTGTGCTGCAGCTACTTTCTCCCAGGGAATGCCTGTGCCACAAGCATTTTGGTATGTGATAGGTTACCCTGGGGGCAGTAGGGGAGGCTGGGGCCAGCACTGGGCTGGCCCCAGCAACCTTACCTGGAGTCTTCCCGGGGCTGCAGCCACAGTGCTCCAGCCCAGCGGAGCCTGGCTGGCAGCCACAGCAAAGTTCCAGGCGGCCCAGCTCCGCTTTTCAGCAGCACCCACTGCCTGTGCTTGCACTGCTGTTTGTTCTGTGGGTTTTTTTGACCCCTGGATACAGAAAAAAAACCCCCAGAGCAGTGCACACCCAGGCAGTGTGCCCTTGCAGCATGGAGAGCACCTCAGTGTGTGGTATGTGGCGCTACAGACATGTTTGCGGCACCACACCACACAGCTATGCTCATTTGGACGCACCCCATGAGTCAAACCTGTTCTTAGGCAGACAAGGTTCTTTGGGTAAATGTGATCTCTTTTATTAGACCAACTAAATAAATAGTTGGGAAAAAAAAAAAAATTGCAACTTGCAAGCTTTCAGGTACAAATGCTATTCCTGCTCTCAAAAATTCCAGAGATGGAGATTTCACAATGTCTGCACCCTCCTAAATCTCCAACCTAGATTTCTTCTGTGGCAGCTTGAAGCAATTGCTCCTAGTCCTGTCCTCTATGGCCACAGCAAAAATCCCACCTCCATCCTCTCCACAGGCACCCTTCAGGTATCTAAAGACTATAAAATGCCTCCCAAGTCTTCTCTTTTCCAGACTTAAACAACACTAGTTCTTTCAGCTTTCCCTCAAGTCGTGTTCCCTAGGCCCCTAATCATTTTTGTCACTCTCCACTGAACTTGTTCCAATTTGTCCATGTCCTTCTTAAAGGAAGAGACCAAAAACACAGTACTCCAAGCAAGGCTTCACCAGTGCTGAATAGAGCAGAGGAACCACTTCCCTTGATTTGCAGGTGACACTTGTTAATACAACCCAGTATGCTATTGGAGGGGGTGGGTTTTTTTTGTTTTGTTTCACAACATGCACACTGTTGGCTCGAGTTCAGTTTACGGACCTTCTCTGCATTACTAGCCAGTCATTCCCCAATCTGCACTTGTGCATGTAATTATTCCATCTCAAGTGCAGGACTTTGCACTTGTCCTTGCTCAATCTCACGATTGACTGCAGACCATTTTTACAGTTTCTCCAGCTCATTCTGGATCCTAACCCTATTCTCCAGAGTGTCTGCTACTCCGTCCAACATAGCATCATCCACAAATTTGCTAACTGTGCACTCAATCCCATTATCTAAGTCACAAGATATTAACAATACTAGACCTAGGGCAGACCCCTGAGGAACCATATCTAATACCTTCTCCCAATCTACTAATGACTAATCATTGGGCATAATGATCTAACCAGCTATATATCTACCATACAAGTACTTTCATCTAGTCTGTATTTCCTTAGCTTGTTCATGAGAATGTCATGCGAAACCATGTCAAAAGCCTTGATCAAGTCAAGGTATATCATGTCCACTGCTCTCTCATATCCACAGAGCCCATCACTATTACAAATAAAATCAGGCTGGTTAAAAATGACTTGCTCTTGGTGAATCCACACTGCCTGTTCCTGATCGCCTTGTGCTCCTGTAGGTGCTTCACAACAGATTCCTTGAGGACCTGCTCCATGATCTTTCCCAGTATTAACGTCAGACTACTGGTCTGTAATTCCCCAGGTCCTTCTTCTTCCCTTTCTTAAAGATGGGCACTATTTTTGCACTTTTCCAATCATCTGGGACCTCACCTGACCTCCACAAGTTCTCTAAGAGGAGAACCAATTCCTTCAGTACCTTAGCGTGCAACTCATTGGGCCCTGTCAACTTGAAAGCATCCAGCTCTTCTAAGTAATCCCTAATCTGTTCTGCCGGTCTTACCTTAGACCAGTGAGCCAACCTTATGTGGCACACCTGACAAAGTTAGCCACACATGCTCCACATTCCCTTTCCCTGCCTAATCTACTGCTCTTTTTTTTTTTGCTTCTTCCGCTGTGCTCCCTAACTAGATCTGCTACACTGCTTTCTGCCATGCTTACTCTTGTACTGCCTGCCCCCTAACTGGTTTACCATGTGCCGCAGGGGTGGCTACTCCTGACCTAAGCCATTTAAACTCCTTGCCCATTTTTGCTGCCAACTGCACTTGTCATCTGGCAACTGCCCCATTTGTGAATTTTTTTATTTTGGCCTAAAGTACTTCATCCTTCTCTGCCTCATGCACAAACTAAATCCCCCTCTGCATTCTTGTATGGGACCTACTATTTCTTTGGTATTCTTCTTACTCCTGACATACTTGTAGTCTCTTCTTGTTGCCTTATACCGCTGGCCAGCTGCATCTCAAATCATGCCTTGGCCTTCCTCATTTTCTCCTCGCATGTCTGTGCAATACTCTTATACCTTTCCCTAGTAATATGATCAAGTTCCCACTTTTCTAGGATTACTTTGAGTTTCAGCTCACTGAGGAGACTGCTAAGCTGGTCTCCTGTTGTGACAGAAGAATGGGAAGTGCCTGCTCCTGCACCCTGAGAAGGATCTCCTTAACGTGCAGACTGCTTCCACTGGACATACTACTAGATGATTCAAAGAAGAGTTGCCTCCTTCCTTTCTACACTTCTACATGTCAGTCTCTTGAAATCGTCCAAATCTGTCACAAACGAAATATTCCATTTTGTTCCATGTGCTGACTGACATGGACATATGGAAGTTGATAATTTGTCTTCCTTTCTAGGTTCTGTACTTTGTTTCTCAAATGCAGCTCAATTACCAGGTATTTTATGATCAACAGAAACAAGCACTAGCTTCACTAGGGAGAGAACTAGCCATCTGATGCTAAGACTATCCATAAGAAAAGATTAACAAACTGCCTGAGGTCCAGAAAGGCCAAGATGTCACATCTTAATGATTCTGGTAACCCTCAGTAAATTGCCTAAGATTCAATCCTAAATGGCAAGGGTATACAAAATTCCAAATGCAGATGTTGGAAATAACTTCTGAGTGAAACAGATGTAAAGCACTGTGCACCAGAATAGGAGTTCCTGAAAGGCTCTCCATCTATTCATGACAGAAATATTGCCTAACTCCTTAAAACAGATTGGCTGGCTAGTGGTGGAAGCTTCAATTGTGGTTGTTTTGAAGATGGAACAAGTACTCAGAAGCAGTAGTTACTGTCCTCTTAAGAGGGAATGTTTTTAATTTAACTTGAAGCTACCATGGTAGTGAACTGAACTGAGCAGTTAAACTTCTTTTTCTTCTTCAGGTAATATCATACTTGCTTGAACTGGTTAGCCAGCTAGAGCAGCGTTTCTCAACCCATGGGTCTCACAACCCAACAAGAATATAGGAAAGGGTTGCAAAAAACCTTTAAAAATTGATTCTCCTTTAAAGGATAAAAAGATGGGAAACTGTTTTTTTCCTTGCAGACTGGCAGAGTTCCAGACTGCAAGGACTGCTTGTGGCCCCCCCTGCCCCACACGCCCACCCTCTGCCCCACACACTTGGGCCTGGGGGCAGATTGAGAGTGAGGCGCACTGGGTCAGGACTGGCCATCGATGTTTATAAGTCGGTCCTGGTACAAAAAAGGTTGAGAACCACTGAGCTAGAGGACATAGCCCTTAAAAAAAAGGCACAAGTGTGCCAGTCACAAGAAACAGAATACTGGAAAATACTGAAGTTTTTCAGAGGCTCAACTACATAAAACAGCCTTCCTCACCTAGACTGCAGAGCCTAACCCTTTGCACAGGTTAACTGACAGTTCTGCCAGGACATTTTACCATCAGAATAAGATGCAATTAAAAACAAACAGAGAAAGTGGAAAAGAATGAAAATAAAGTCAGAGCAAGAAAATAAGATTTAAATACGAACACTGTTGAATCAGATTGGCTAGAAGGCAGGAACAAAGTAGGAATGGGAAGACAAACAAAGTAAATTTAGGAGAAAGAGGTTTGACATATAGCAAAGATTGCTGGTACACAGAAAGGTGAAAACTTTTCCAGACTTAGTGAAAAAACAGAAATTAAAGAGAAGAAAAAAAAAAAAAGACAAGAACAGTACAGTAAACTCTCTATTATCCAGTACTTCACCAACCAAATACTCCATTAACCGGAGTTTCCGGCCGGCCAGATGCAAGGGGGGGCAGGGGAAGCTCATATGCAGAGGCCACCACCCGCCCCGCCACCAGCCAGACGTGGGGGCGGGGGGAAGCTCGCATGCAGCAGCTGCTGCCACACACCCCCTTCCCACCTCCGCTCCGCGTTATTCCAGATAACTGGAGTTTTTACATAACTGGCAAACCCCCTACCCCAGGGATGCCGGATAACAGATTTTACTGTACACAGAATGGGTGGTTTGGGAAGGGAGCAATGAAAAAAAATTAAGAGCATATTATTATGCATCTATTCATAGCATTACTTATCAAGAGTACTATTATTTTGTTTGGAGAGGAGCAAAAACAGTACCTTATAAAGGCAGGACAAGAAATCTAGGTTTATTCCTAAAGACAGGGAATCACTGAATTGACAAAATGGAGGCCAGACAAGTCATACTGGTGAGAAGATCATTTTAGCTGCTGAATGTCTGAAAAGCTAATTCTCATCTTTTGCTAGCTGATAGACGGCTGTTACACTAGTCCAGGCATGATAGTGGCATGAATGTATTCTGGTAGACAAGGTGGTAGGGAGGCAGGGGGAAATAGATGTTTTCAAAGCAATAAGATTTATAGATCAGAAGATAAGCTCAGCCTTAGGGCTGAATGATGGGAAGGATACTGAACATAAAAATAGAGAGGGAGGAACAGAACTGAAAAGAGTCCCATTTCTCACGAGCTTTGGGAAACACCAAGAAGAAATACAAATACAAAGATGCAAGTCTGGAGTAGAATAAATTTCTAGATCTGGGGTACAGAGAGACAGAACAATTGTAACGCTACTGAGGGATACTGATATAAGCTGTTGTTATACATTTGCATGATTCTGTAGCAACCAACCTGGCACCAATTTCCATCCCACTTCATCAAGGGTCAAAGTTGGGAGGAATTCACTAACTTATATTGTTGCAGGATCATGCAGATTCAGTTGCAGTCTAGCACTTGCTATATGCTTCCATGCACCAGCCTCTTCTCCCCTCCCCACATGAAATGGTTACAAATGTACATTTGTCCATGCTCTTTGTGAAACTGTGTGAACAGTCACCTCAGGGGAAAGGGAAGAAAGGAAGTATGACCATGAAACATCAGAAAACAGGAGGCAAGAGAAAGAGGATCCACTAAAAGCATAACTATGTCGAAGAGGCAAACAAGGGAAGATAACCGGAAGAGAGAGAATTGTGACAGTCAAACAAGAACTTCCCCTGGCATATGCATGACTGCCTATGTCAGAAAGAAAGGAACAAAGTCACAGATTTAGAACAAGTCAGTGGAGCAGAATGGAAAAGGAAACTAGAGGTAACTTGCAAATACACAGCAAAAAAAAGAACTCAGTGCAGGCCAGTTAAGAGATACAAGGGATATGGTACCAACACAAATACAAGAAAACAAATCTCAGTTATGTACATACATTCTATAACCCTGAACTGCTACAAGCAAGTCATGACTTCTGTCAGGGAGGCAAAGAGGTATTCTAGCTTAAAAAAAAAAAAAAAAAAAAAAAAAAAAAAAAAAAAAAAAAAAAAAAAAAAAAAAAAAAAAAAAAAAAAAAAAAAAAAAAAAAAAAAAAAAAAAAAAAAAAAAAAAAAAAAAAAAAAAAAAAAAAAAAAAAAAAAAAAAAAAAAAAAAAAAAAAAAAAAAAAAAAAAAAAAAAAAAAAAAAAAAAAAAAAAAAAAAAAAAAAAAAAAAAAAAAAAAAAAAAAAAAAAAAAAAAAAAAAAAAAAAAAAAAAAAAAAAAAAAAAAAAAAAAAAAAAAAAAAAAAAAAAAAAAAAAAAAAAAAAAAAAAAAAAAAAAAAAAAAAAAAAAAAAAAAAAAAAAAAAAAAAAAAAAAAAAAAAAAAAAAAAAAAAAAAAAAAAAAAAAAAAAAAAAAAAAAAAAAAAAAAAAAAAAAAAAAAAAAAAAAAAAAAAAAAAAAAAAAAAAAAAAAAAAAAAAAAAAAAAAAAAAAAAAAAAAAAAAAAAAAAAAAAAAAAAAAAAAAAAAAAAAAAAAAAAAAAAAAAAAAAAAAAAAAAAAAAAAAAAAAAAAAAAAAAAAAAAAAAAAAAAAAAAAAAAAAAAAAAAAAAAAAAAAAAAAAAAAAAAAAAAAAAAAAAAAAAAAAAAAAAAAAAAAAAAAAAAAAAAAAAAAAAAAAAAAAAAAAAAAAAAAAAAAAAAAAAAAAAAAAAAAAAAAAAAAAAAAAAAAAAAAAAAAAAAAAAAAAAAAAAAAAAAAAAAAAAAAAAAAAAAAAAAAAAAAAAAAAAAAAAAAAAAAAAAAAAAAAAAAAAAAAAAAAAAAAAAAAGACATGACACTACTCAGGAATGTCCATCCACAGAAATTTTCTTCTTTCTTCTGAACTGCTAGCGAGACCTATACCCAAAATTTCCCCAAAATTTTTATACCAAGAAGTAACCGTAAACAAACCACATGTCATGGGCTACAAATTGGAAGCTTGCAAGTTAGGTATGAATGGAATTCCACCTTACCTAGAAATGTATGAATGATAAACAGACTTAAATTACACCTAAACAGGGAAAAAAAATTAAAAGGAACTGTCAGCATGAAAGAAAAGTGAAATTACAAAATCATACAGGAGGCAACAACCAAAACCTTCTAAAGATACTGTAATAAATGCTTCTACAAAATACAATACATAACAGGGCATGCTTCACAATATGTAGCTATGTCCGAGGGATCATAGCCATTGTAGTTGGTATAGACTGCTAGGATCCTTCCTTTTAAAGTATCTTTGATACCATTATACCAGTACTAATGTGTTTTGCTCCTCAGTTCTCCCACCACTGCTTTTCTATTCCTTTCTGAAAAGCCAAGAAAATAGGGAATTAAAAAAAAAAAGTGTCAGTGCCACTATTTCTTCATTTGAGAAGGATTTCAACAAGGATATAAGTTTCTACGAACATGCAATGTTTCCCTTTAAGGAGACAGGAATGATTATGGAAAGTGGCACTCGAAAGGATTTACAGTGGTCAATTGCAAAAGACATAGTGTATCAGTAACACAATTTAACTGCAATTTTCTTCAGTTTTTATGTGCTAGTTATTCCCTTTTATTTGTGCTACTGAAAAAAAAATGAAAAGGTGCTGTGTGAACAGCAGATGGAATAAAACATTGTCTGTACTTCCACTCTCTATCTCTAACTGTAGTTTAGATATTGTTTAGGTGTCTGAATCATGGCTGAAAAGAGACGAAGAGAGCAGTGCCCATAGTCAACTGAGTTTTAAGCTAAATTATATTTGGCACATGTCTGTTTGAATAGAGACATGACAGGATGGCAGAGGGCTGGATTTTGCAACACAACCAGAAAAGAAAGCAGCTAAGTTATTAGTTGAGGGGGAAGGTGGGAGAGAGGGAGTAGATGAGCTAACAAGCAACTGTAAAAATAAACTGGTGTCTAACATTTAGACTTCAAACTGATAGGATTCCAAGATGTACAACCCTGTAAAATAGTTTCTTGGAAAATTTTCTGTATCAATTCCCTTTACTTTATATAGGCAGATGGAGAACAATGTTTCTGTTCCAGTGCAAGTAAAACAAGGGGTGGGAGGCAGGGGTGGGAAGTAGGGGGTGAAAGGACCCCCCTCACCCCCAACTATCCAAACACATTGTTCTAAGAACTTATAAAAAAAGCCTTTGGCAACAACAAGTATAAAGGAAAATAAGTTTAAAGAAAATCTGCAATTAGAATTGGTTCTCTTCAAAATAGCAGAGAACAGTGGTACTCAACCTTTTGGCCCTCTGCACCAGATGGAATGGCACAGGACCAGCCCTACCCCCCCAAATTTACCCTCCCAATCCAGCCCCGTGTACTTCATGTAGCATCCAGGGCCATGTAATCCAACCTGCAGGGTTTCCCACAGATCTGGAAATTTGGCAGCATAGACGCAGCAATTATTATCACCACCACTCCCCACTGCCAAATTTTCAGGCCCATGGGGAGCATAGCACAGAATCCCAATGTACTTTGTGGTTACTGTCTAAATACTTATAAACTACTGTAATAAATAAGGTTCTCACCCATATACCTATAAAAACAAAACAAAAAGTACCTTAGGCTCACTTTCTGTATCCTCCTCTTCCTCTCCCTCCTCTTCACCTTCCAATTCCTATGACAGGAAGAAAAGAGACTAAAAGAAATTAAAATTAGTTTAAAAAGCAGCTGCTTATGGTGAGGAAAGCCATCTAGTAAACTAGTGCAAATATTACATTTCTGTGTCTTTCACCTATTAAAATCACTTGGGCTGGATAAGGCCTGACAAATCATCTGGCCTGGAGTGCTGGCTTACACATTCATATGGAAGCTATTACAAATTTCCAAAAAGTCAGGTTTTACTTGTGATGTCATTATGAGTTTCACACTTCTTGTCCACCACCTGTCCACCCCACCCCCAGCTTTTTCTTGCTGGGCTCATGTATTCCTGTACATGGTTCTATACCACTAGCATCCTTTCAGCAACTCTCCTTGCACATGCTTAAAAGCAAGTGCTAGCATCTCTGAATGGAGGCAAATAAACTGACAAAGAGCTGGTTTTACAAAAGGTTCAGACTCTTCATTGCCAAAAGGCTGAACTCCTCAAAAAATAGCCAGATACAGTCCAGACCCAAAGTTAGGCCATTTTACTGTAACATTTTTATGAAAAGTTTTGAACATACCATGATGAAGAGTGGGGTAGGGGGAAGGAAATCACATATTGAGTTATTTGCCAAAGCATAGTGTCCAAATTTAACACTTAATTTTAGTGAAAAAATTGTATAGTGACTATCACTGTTGTGCTTGTGCTCTAACAACACCGAAACAAACTAACTTCAGTTGTAAACATAAACCAGCTCAGAAGTAGTTCTGGTAAGTCCTTCATTTAAAATTACTTTGAAAGGACCACATATATTTTAAAAAGAAAGGTCGAACCCTAGGACACGTAAGACTGCCAGTTAGTGGGATACATAGCCTGTATTTTTTAAGTCATCTTCCATTGCAGCCCAAGACTTTACCCTTTATAAACAGCTACACCAAGATCCATCATTGCAACCCTTACAACTACCTACAACAGTTTTCTTTTGTTTCTTCGTTTTAAAATGACTTCACTAGTATTGAAAGTGCCAATCTTCAACTCCTCTCAGGTGCAAAAACTAACTGCCATAGATAGCACAAAAATACTGGACAAAACTACGATGGGTGCTCATGTTGCTTGTAGACATTAACACACACCAAAACATGCTTTACCAGAAGCAGCAGCGTGTTACTTCAACCTAGGCTCTGCTGTGTCTGTAAATATTGGGTGCTTCAGAGGGGCTTTTTGGCACTTAGCTAAAGCTGATTCAATCTCCTATTAGATAAAAAGTGCCAAAAAGGCCCCACTGAAGTGCCTGATTCTTACAGACATTGGGCGAGCTGAGTTGAAATAACATACTGCCTCTTCTAGGCATGCACGGGTCTTGGCACAGGAATGTGCCACGTTTCAAGTAAAGTGCTATTTTTTTGTTTTTTAACATCTGCAAGCACCCCTAAAGGTACAGTTGTAGCAAGAGACAAATATACATTTCACATCTTACCATTAAACTATGAGAACAAATTTTGGGGAGAACTATGAACATAACAGCTCCATTTTTGCCCTACAAATGATAACTTCAGAAAAAGAAATATGGTTAGTAATACATGTCTTACCTCCTCTTCTCCTTCTTCTCCCTCTTCAAACTAAAAACAAAAGAAAAAACAGAAAAAACACTTTTAGCTCTGCAGAATATTTTATGTACATGTTAGCTATAGTAGGCATACCTCATGAAACCTACAGCATATTTTATTTAAAAACATTAGTACTTACACCATTGCAAAGTGGTTAACCTACCCTATACAGTACTAACTGCATTTTTCAGATGTGGATGCCATTATACAAAATTAAAGGATTTGCCTTCTGTCCTATGCCAAACTAGGAAAAGAATTAGGATTCTGGAACTCATCTCCCAAGTCTAATTTGTTTCCCATTAAAGCTACCCACTGTCGCCTCTAGATGATGACAACGATGACTGCATGAGAGAGGTCCTTTAATCTAATCAGACAAAAGGAAATCTCAACCCGGAAACATGACTGCAAAACACATGTCCCTAGTAAGATGCACCTTTTTCTTGAGCGCTCTCTCACTTCTGCAAGAGACATAAATGAACAGGGATACAAGCCATTACATACATGCACAAATGCCTAAAGGATGTGTGAAAAAGGCAGCATAATTCCATTTTAAAAGCCAAGTCAAAAGCAGAAGTCTACAAATCATAGTAAGTCAGATGTCCATAAGCACTTTTTTGAATACTGTACATTTAGATTAGAAGCTGAAATAATACACTGACACCCCTTTCTGCTGTGCTTATAGGATACTCACCACGAATCAAATTTTTAAAAAACTTTAATGGGATTTGGTGAAAACAAACAAACAAAAATCAAGAATATATTTTTTTTAAATATAGCTTTCAAATGAAAAAAAAAATTCAATTTGCCCTGATCAAAATTGGTTAGTGTAACAGCTTGGAAATACATCCTTAAAAAGAAATAAGAAAACTAGTCTGTCCCCAAGCCAGAAATCTTTTGTTTTGCCTCCATCTAGTGTCTGTGTGCTACTGTAACATGGACTGCTTCTTTCACTCACATTCCTACAAAGTTACCAACTCAAAAAAAAGACAAAGTTACAATTTGCATTGCTTCACTAGATCAAGCTTAAGCTGTAAATCATCCAGCACAATGAAAGCCCAAACACCTCTTAACATCAGCTCTGCAAACTTCTCAAAATCTTGAGTTCCACTATCACAATATACTGAGAGTGTAACCATACCAGAGGTGAGACACTATCCTGTTGCAATTCAACAAAAAGGTGCTATTAAAAGGAAGCAGCAAGTTAAGTGAGTGGCGTGATGTTAAGTCAGGTAGAAAAAACCCCCCAAAACAACCTCTCTCTATGGCTAGGTTCAGAAGTTACACAAACTGGTTTAAGTGATCTGAAACTGATTTAAACTTGTAACAGACCAAAGCTTATCTTAACCCAGTTTCAGCCATTTATGTACACATAAATCGGTTTCAAAATGGCTGAAACTGGGTTAAGATAAACCTGGCTGAATGTATCAGTTAACTGATTTGGGTCCAACTAATTTGTGAAACTTCTGCCCCAGACCTCTTCCTGGTTCAGGTTAAATCACAGTCCCCCAGCATGCTTTCCAGCCCAGGGCTGGGCTGTGCCATCTGCTCCATCCCTCCACTCTCTTGCTGACTAGGGGCAGGGAGGGCAGGCCCAGTTGGGGATGCAGCCCAGTCTATGAAGGCGAGTTAAACACCCCTTCCTCCACTCAAGCTTACTGCTGGCTACAACTGTGAATTACAAATCCCAGAGGCACCTGGAAGCAGGAAGTGATGATAAGCAACCCTGCAGAGCCCTGCTGCTGTAATTCTGGACTGCAAATCCTAGAGAGACCTTGGGGGCAGCAGGAAGTGAACACACAACCAGAGCCATGCTCTATCACCCCCTGGCTTCTGACCCAAGTCACGGCAGGCGTGTGGCTACATTTCCTGAATCAAAGGTAAATGTCTATTCACTTCCGTTTCAGTTTAATCTGTGGTGACTATAGCTTAGACTAACCTGCAAAAACTGAATTGATTCAGCCTTGGGCTTTTTGACTGTCTGTACCTAGCCTATCAGACATAAAATGCTAGGCAGTCAGTCAGTGAAGGGTCCCAAAAGATGCATACCAGTCTACTATAACCCTGTCTGGCCAGTTATTTGGCCAAAAAACTTACTGCATCTGATTTCAGATGAGTCATTTATTTTCTCCCCAATCCCTACATGAAAAAATTCACACATTTGTTTCAGTCAAGCAAATAATGTTGCTATTCACCATTTTCACTGGAAGAGACAGATTCTTCGTACAGGAAAACAAAACAGACAAGATCAGTCATAAATATACCTACATTATCATCATCCTCTATAGCTTCCCCAGTGAAATAAAGCACGGCACGAGGAACTATCCTTTCACGGAAGAAGTGTCCAATTTCAAAGTCTGTTGCTAAAGTAAACTCTGAATCTTCATCCTACAAAGCAAGTCAATTCGGTTTGAGACTTACTACCGGAAGCGTAAAACACATTACACAGATAGCTCACCTTCAGAATGAGCACTCGAAAACCGAAGAATCTGAGATCAAAGCCAAGAGGACCAGACTTCAACTTTAATATATTTACATTTTACAACATTTAATTGATTTCATAGACATTAGGGCTGGAAGGGACCTCAGAAAATCATCGACTCCAGCCCCCTGCCCGAGGGGCAGGAAGTCAGCTAGGGTCATAGGATCCCAGCAAGATAAGCACCCAAAGTTCTTTTGAAGGTGTTCAATGTAGGTGCTTGAACCACCTCCAATGACAGGCTATTCCAGACCTTGGAACTCTATTCTAAAAAAATAAAATAAAATCCCATACTCTCTGCTGGTTTAGAAATTGAACTCCACCTAGATGCACCCTTATATATAACCCATATGGAAACACATTCCTTTAACAAGGAATGGGCTACTAAACTAAGAGTTGTTCTAAGTGTCCGTGTTGTGACGGGGGAAAAAAAGCTATTCATTAGGGACCTTGGATCTTGGAGCTGACTAAGGAAAAGCGCTGGGTGGCTTCAGGAGACTGGACCTCTTGCCAAGGTGGCCTGTTATAAAACAGACATAATGGGAGACAGAAGAGCAAGTCAAAGGAGAACTAAGCTATTTGGGGAAGTAATGTAAACAAAGTATTTTTGTCTTATCAAATTGAAAACTCAATGTTCTTACTAAAAAAGTCAAAATAAGAGCAAAATCTATATACTATCACAGATGTAGGCATCTGAGTAAAGTCTAGGAAGGGAAGTTTAGCAAGGAAATGACACAAAAGTAATAAGATTTGAAAAGTGAAACTTACCAGTGACTCGCCATCCCCAGATACTAGAAAAACAAAAATAAAAAAAGATGAGTATTCAAGAAATGGTTTTTAAAACATTTCAATATAAGGGTAAACACCCAGTTAGACCATGATATGAGCAGAAACCTCTTCACAGAAATGAGGTTAGGTAAGTGTGGTTATAACATGCTGGAACTGGAGAGCCTGCAAATCCTTGGTACTGATAACATGACTGAAGGGAAAACAATTCAGTTTCAGCTCATCTTTAACATATATAAATTGAATTTAGGAATATTTGCCGTATTACAACATAAAGATAACGAAATTAAGATGTGTGAACACTGCCACCCTGATTTAATATAATAAAAATGTTGGGAAAGGGAAATGTTATCTATTTTTGAAGAAAGAACATGAGGCCTTATTAATATCTGCCAAATATTAAAGGTCTCAATTCTGCAATTAATACAAAGATGTAAAATCTGTTGTCCACAAGTCCTCACTGGTAAGGTAAACAACTCTTTGCAGAAAGTTCTTCCAGGGCTTGAAAATAATTGATTTCAGACTACACAGGACTACAATACGACTGCTATCACCTGATAGTGCCATAACTCATTCTCCTATTTTCAGATCCAATGCTGGGAGCATAAATTAGAACACCACCATGTCAGCATATCCTTCTTCCTTACATTATCTAAGATTTTCTCTGTCATGGCTATATTTGTTATAAACAACTACAGCAAAACAACATAATACTTTGTACAAGGCTAATAGCACAGGGTGTGGCAACCTATGGCCCAGCAGGTCAGATCTGGTCCACAAAACAACTGCAGGAGTGGGGGGAGGGGGAATCTTAGAGAAGGCAAGAATAATCGCTTATGATCAGTGCAATAGTTTAACTTTTAAACTGTGCGTCTCATCCTTTAAATCTAGAATGGCAGTACAGAGCCATGCTGTACAGTATTAAGACCCAAACTGACAGTATTAAGAACAAAACAGCCAGACTACATTAAACTGTGCTTGAAATCCTGTTTATACTATATTCCTTAGATTACTTTCCTATGACATCAGGTAAAAACAAAAGTTAGTTGTTCCAACATCTTTAGCTACACCCCAGATTACTAAATCTCTCTCCCTGTTTAATAGGGCCGTGCGAAACAGCACCATTCCACTTTGTCTTCCATTTTGATGGAACAGTGTTTCGTTTACAGTTTCGTTTCATCAAAACTTTTTCACTGTTTCGACGTTTCGCCCATAGGCTATAATGGGGAAGCACAAAACTGCCTATAACTTTGTCATTTCTAGTCTGATTCGAATGAAACTTGCAGGGATGGTAGCCCCTTCTGAGGGCATGAAGCCTACCAAGTTTAAAAAAAGATAGGTGCAGGGGTTTCTAGGAAACTGCACCTCAAGTTGCTGACAAGCAAAACTGTCACTTGCCAGCAGCAGCAAGTGGCAGGCAGATCAGGGCTCACGTGCACCCCTGGGAGGAGTCCAACAGAGCCCCGCAGCCCTCGCAGGGGTGCGGGCCCCCGATCTGCCTGCCAGATCACAGGAGGCTGCTCCTGTCACCTGGGACAGGTGGCAGCACCAAGCTTCCTGGTGCTGGGTGTGGTCTGTGCCCAGCACCAGTCCCAGGCAGCAGGAGCAGCCTCTTGTCATCCAACAGGTAGACTGGGGACCTGCACCCCTGGGAGGGCCGCAGGGCTCTGGCAGACTCCTCTTGGGAGTGCAGACAGGCCCCCGATTTGCCTGCCAGATCACAGGAGACTGCTGCTGCCAGCTGAGACCGATGCTGCCGCTGGCCCCAGCCAGCAGCAGCATGCTGTCATCCAACATGCAGATCTGGGGGCTGGCACCCCCTGGGAGGACTGGGGGCTGTGCCAGAATCCTCCTGGGGGACATGGCCCCTGGATCTGCATAGGATGACAGGAGACTGCTGCTGCTGGCTGGGACCAGCGTTGAAGCCAAGCCCGGCTTCGAAACTCTAAACGTTTCGAGTGCCCTTTTTTCATTTCAAAGGCTTTTGCTCCATTTTGATTTCGCTGTTTTGAGTTTGAAATGCATCGAAACCGCTTTGAAACAAAACACCCAGTGAAATTTCATACAGCCCTACTGTTTAGTTGTTAGCAAATAGCAGCTTTTTTGTTCTGCTACTTGGTTCTCATTTCAGACTCTAGATCAGCGGTTCTCAAATTTTGTTAGATTCAAGCCCCTTTCAGAACATGCCAAATCTTTGTTAATTTTTTTCTTGAGTGCAGAAAAATAAGAGCAATTTCTGTTACAAACAACTTGGAAAGACCACAACAGGATAGAATGTATTTAACACTATCAATTCCTATCTGAAATCTCTGGGTTTATCTTGTGAATCATGCTTGTAACCCTAATATTGCATGGCACCAAATGGCACCCCTTAAAGGATCTAAATGAGAATCACTGTTCTAAATGCTGGATTCAGGGAAGCAATCAACTGCAGTCTAATAGCAGTACTCTACTGCTTGCCAAATACATATCCCACTACTTTAGATCTGATTTAGCCACTTCAAATGAGGTGTATATATGAACATATTCAAAGGAACATATCTGCGGTACAGACAGCATGGTTAATGAATCTATAAGTATAGCCAAGATAAACAAGCCAATCTGATAAGAATACAGTTCATGTAATTCATAGAAGTCCCAATAATCCTTTTCTACAGCCCAAGCTTACCTTTTATTGGGTTGAAGAAGTTAAAGAACGAATCATTTGGGACTTGTTTAGTAATTGTTCGAACTGTGCCCCGACCCTTGTGTTTCTGCTTCTTCTTGATTGTTTTAACTGTAACATTTTTTCCTTTCTTCCAGTCAATACTGCACCTACAGACAGCACAAGGGAAACAATATTTTATTGCAAAATGACATGGGGAAAATATGCAACTTTAATAGTAGTATAACAGAAAAAAGGGAGGCAAAGATTGGTTTCAGTTTTATAGGCAACTGAATTAGCTTAACAAAATACTAAGCCTGCTTTGAATACACTGTTCTGTATTAATGCTGTTGTTACAGAGATTACACTAAACATTCAGTGTACAGATACAGAAGTACTTCAAGGGACCAAATTCTCTATTCATTCCCCACTGTAGAGCTCAATCATTGCAAAGTTGGGAACAGTGTCACACAGCCAACCTAAGAATCATTTTTGTGCAAGGAAACCCAGCCTAGATGGTGTGGTGTAGCAATTATTCTCCAACCTGGGTGTCAGAGGGACATGGAACAACCCTCTTGAGCAGTGGACAGCCAGGCAAAGTACAGTCCAGTCCAGTATCCATATTCCCATGCAAAGGACCAAAGAACTGCTCAGCTTTTGTGAGAATCAGAGAGCTGTGAAGGAAACAGACATATTTGCAGATCCAATACGAGGCCATTGCATAGCACAACTTGGACTGACTTGACATGCTGTTCAACTCCATGCTACTGGAACTGTCACTCAACTTGGCTCTCACACTATCAAAGAGACTGAAGTCAGGCTGTAGTTTTACTCATGTTTGCCCAAAACACTGAACAAGCTACAGTATAACTGTGGTCGGTCAGGACACATAACAGACAGTTACCTTTGGAGAGAGAAGTAAAAATAAAGTTGTGTTAGTCCTGTGTTCATTGCTGTAGTCAACCTCACAGTGAGGTGGCAGTTTGCTCAGGTAGGAAGCCACATGCTACCTACTACAGGCAATTTGAATAGGATAGCTGCTCTGCTTTATACTATAAAATCCAGGGCACATTAAAGTAATCCTGTTGTCTACTCACATGCTGAAGCAAACTCTTAATTGGAAAAAATAGTCCACCATACTCTGGAACAGTTTAGTGGCCTAGGACACCTTGTCCCACAGATAGTTAAGCAGTCAACTGTTCGACAGAGGTAGCCATGTTAGACTGAAAAAAAAAAAAATCAGGCAGGGTAGAGTAACATAGTCTATAAAAAGGTGTCCAGGTTGAACTGCCCCATCCATCTTGTACACACCCAGACAGAGAAGGACCGTGACACAAGTTTACGCTGCTGCCTTAAGTCCTTTCCAGTACACCCCTTTCCCCCACACACTCAGAGCACAAAGTAGGACCAGGAAGGGCTGCAGCAAGAGCAGACACTCTTGCTTGCTTTAGGTTTATCAGATAACCTAAAGCAGGCAGGAGCCTATGTTCATGTCATCACCCTTCTCAGTCTGGCTCTGCGTACGGTGTGCAGGGCACTTACCTGGTGGGAAACAGCAGCACCCCCCTCCCAGTTGAGAGCTACTGAGGTAAGCTAAGGCAGAAAAATAATGGTTCTTAACTGGGGTACTGCCAAATTCAAAAAAGATTGTGGACAAGTACCATGAACCTAAAAAGGTTGAGTCACTGGCCTAGACAAAAAGGAGTGTTGGTCTATGGGACCACCACAGTGAAGCCAAACCAGCAAAGTATCTAATTCATCAGCCAATCTATGTATGAGCTTCTGAAAGGTTTTGGTACATGGTTGGGATATTTCTGGGAATGCTAAATATTATTCTTTAAGGAACAGAAACTGGGTTAAAAAGCTGAAATTCACAGTTTAAAAGGCTAAAAGCTACATGATCTCTTTATCAGCAATTCAGAGTACAAAACTGCATATATATGGTGGTCACTACTATGATCTCTTAACATCACAAGATGTAAACAGGAAGGTCCAGTTCTGACAGGGTAAACTGGCAAAAATTCAAAGTTTACTCTGTCACAACCCAATGGGTGTGATTTTTCTTTATTGTGTGCTTCGGCACTGCTAAATTGTCCCCGCTAAATTGCAGCTTCCTTGCACGGTGGAGTTTTCTGCTGCAAAAGAGAACCCCGGTGCAAGGGAGAATTTCCCGCCAATTTGAAGCTTTCTTTGCAGGGTGCATTTCTTTGTTGCAGCACAGAAATGCTCGTTGCAAAGAGTTCCCGCCATCTGTATGCTAATTCGAGTCCCATTATTGGCCAGTTCTAAATTATTCACACGTAGCAGCTAGTGATTGGCTTGCTAGCCGTATAAAAGGCTTGAGTGGTTTCCGCCCAAGTTGGAGGACTCCACGAACAAGGGAGGAGGAGATTTCACGCTGTGTGAAGATCTCTAAGCGCTGCAGATCCTTACAGACCCAGTGCATTTAAAGCAGGCAACAGGGGTCTGACCATCCTCTAGCCGCTCCCCGTCGCCGAGCGCAATCCAGACGTATCCCTTCCCGCGCGCAAGAGAACTGGACCCACGGAGCCTAGCAAACTTCATGTGAATCCTTGACCGATCTCAGAGCTCTTCTACCCGGGTTCGAGTCCTGCAGGTTTATTTTTCCCGTCGCCGAAACCCTTTGCAACGTACCCTCGTATTTTTCATCTTCCCGTCGCCGGAACCCTTTGCGACGTACCCTCGTGCCCTGCAGGTTCGAGTTTTGTTTTCTTTCCTGTCTGTAACCACAACTCAATCAAGTTTTCCAGCCTACACCGCTGCCATCTAGGTGTGGGTAAACAATCTTTAAAACTGCCGATACGCGTTTGTGCCCAATTCCAGCTCGACGGCCTTCCCTCTCCGACCCGGCGTGCCCGGGCTGCTGGCCACAGCCCGCGTGCAGCGCGGAAAAGGGCTCGGGTCGCTCCCGGCCCACACATACTCCACAGAACAAAAATCTTTGGTGCAGATCCACAGACCTTGGCAAGGCAACTGTGAGTCATAAGAAACCATAACAAATTTTGGGGTGGCTGTAGCCCCCACTTCCAGGACTGCTGTCTCCTACCCCGCCCACCCTGAACACAGCCCCAGCCCAGCTGCCCTGCCAGGAAGAGACCAGCATAGTCTCTGACCACAAGCCCACAGCAGCACATGCACATGGCATTTTCCAGTGACACTGCCAGCTACACCAGCCAAAAAAAAGCCAATTGCTGATACTGTCAATTTTCCTTTATCAGTGCTGATACGATATGGACTGATATATCGGTGCCTCTCTAGTACAGAGGTACCTAGTTTGAGTATCCCAAATTATTTGGATTGGGAGATGGCCAAGCTGAGTATTTCGGTGTCTAGGAGGGTAGTAGGGCTGTGCGAAGCTTTGGGTGGCGATTTGAATCAAATTTGAATTAAAAGGTCCAATTTGATTCAAAGCTTTCCGAATCTTCTATTTGGAGAGCTCTCCGATTTGCAGAGCTTTGATGATTTGGGCAGCAGGGAGCTGTGGCCAACTCCGAGCTGGTAAGTACTAGGGGCAGGGACCATGGTGGGGACCCCTGCCAGCCCCTATCCCCTGCCTGCTCCCCCAGGCCCCCCACCACATGGCTGCCCTGCCCACCCCAGCTCCCAGCCCTTTAAAAAAAAAAAAAAAAGCCTCAGGGCTCACCAGGTGCTGCCAGGTTGGGGGTGATCCCTGCTACACCCCATTGCATGGGGGGCTCTGCACAAGGCCCTCAACCCTCCCCCACAACTGACTGAATCAGTTATTAGATAAGAGTGCTAAAGAGACCCCACTAAAGCTCCCAAACTATACAGACATTCAGTGAGCTGGGTCTAACTAATGCGATGCCTCTTCTGGGCAGATGCTGGATTAAGTGCAGGGCGCACAGAGTTTAAAGTAAAGCTCCAGGGGGTTTTTAAATGTCTGTAAATAACCTTAAAGATTTTGCCAAGAAATGTAGGTACCTGCAAACTGAGGCACCAAGACAGTTAGGCAGACATTTTTTTAAATGGCTTGCTTACATTTAGACACTTAATTTCCTCCAAAAATTGCTCTTTAGGAACCAATTTTAAAAAGGTGAATTATTTTTTTCCACCAGGAGATACTCTTCCTGGGGAATACTGTACCCACCAGGAGATATTCCTTCTGTAAACAAGCATCATACCCTACTTTTGAGTACAATATTTGTTTATACTCAAGGCATGTTCACAAGAGTACTAGAACCAACGACCCTGTCAGACAGTCTGCCTACTCAAAGGCCAAAAAGATATTCACTCATGCATGATTACCTACATGTTTTTTCTTCTGGACTGAAGAATGATAATGTAATAGCAGTTGTTGATGGTCTATTTGCAAATTGGGTAAGTTTCCAATAGGGGATGGATTAAGAGCACCGTTAAGTTTACACAAAAATGCAAGCATCACTTTTTAGTCACTACCTCTTTTATCTGAATCAGAGACACCGACTTGGAAGTGAAAGGTTAGTCTAATTATTTAACCCTTAGCCTGTAAAAACATAACAATTAAATAACACTATTTTATTTCATATGTATGCAATGTGGTGCTTAATAAAATTCTTTGAGCTTACCACCTCTACTACCAGTTGGGCAGTTTTGTCCCAAGGACTCTTTATATATTGCCAACCACTACCATGATAAAGAAAACAGCATCTAGAGAACACGGACTAGAAACTCATAATGTCTTAAAGCACAAGTTTTCCTTACCCCTCACAATCAACTATTTCAGGGCCTTCAAATGAAAAAGGATCCGTCTTGTCTGGTTCTGACTTCATCTTGTAGGTTTTTGTCAGGACTGAATTAGTAAAGTAGTCATTGGGCCCGAAGTGGAACTCTAATGAAAAAGACTTAAAAAACAAAACCAAACCATTATTGTTATAAAGATCAAATTAGATTTGAATTCTAATTTTGAACTAATACAGGGAAGAGCAAGTCAAAGTTTAAAAGCTTCCCCCCTACTCAACAAATCAAATTCTAATTCTACTACTATTACAAACTGCTGGGGCTCAGTCACTTATACAAGACTAGAAAATACTAAACCAACTAAGTAAATCCATTTAGGTTTGTCCCCAAATGTAGAAGAGAGACAGAATTTGTCAGTCTTCCCATTTTGGACTTAGTGTAGCACCAGAATGGAACCCATTTCCAGGAAGATACTGTCAACAGGTTACGAACAGTGCAAAAGGCAAAAAGAGAAACACGTTGATAGAGTCTATCCTAAAACTAAACATTAAAATGGCGTAACTTTCAAAGCTTTATTGCAATTTTGTTTAAACTAAGCGGCTACTTTAGTCTGCAGATATACAGTTCTTCCACCCCTTAGTACACAGTCAGTCTTCCTGAGACCAATTCCCATTCCAAAGCTCTTGCATGATTCAGAAAATCTGCTCAAGATATACTGCAGGGAAGATTCACTATGGGCAACCAAGGCCGCATCATGCACAAACAGGAACTCTCTCAGAACCAGGTCTTTCAACTCGGTTTTCATTCTAAACCTTGCAATGTTGAACAAGCCTCCATCTAGTCTGGTTCAAAGATCAATGCCCCATCATTGTCACCCTTGAATGGATT